TTGTGTACTGAAAAATCCACTACTAAACTGGCCCAACGAATCATTTTGGGGGCATCGGAGAGGTGTCCAACATGGCGGCTTTCCTGGATCCTTTCACATGGCTGCATTCAGCTGCTGTGCTCCCAAAAAAATGCACCCCGTGTTCTATGTTAAGGCTGTGTGTCAGCTTCGTTGTTTTTTTGTATTGGCCGCCCGCCTCACGATAGTGTGGTACAGTGCTGTAAGTACTGTAGTAGAAAAGAGCTGCAGTCCAGAACAGCAGTTTAGGCTTCAGCCCCTGGTGGTGTTTACAGAAACCCAAAGCCCAAAGCCCTTGTTCTATGCTATGTTAGGGGTTGTTGTAGGAGTTTACAGGATCTCCTGCCATGTACCCCACACGGTGAGCTACTGGAGCCTTTCAAATCTGACTGGGCAGAATGTATGTGCGCGAGTGACCTTAACATAGAACTTGTTTGTGGTTTCCGTCGGCAGGAGCGGGACGAAGGTGATCTTGACATGGAGTTGGCATGGTTGGCTTCAATCCCTGAGGATATGTGGAAAACGTTTTCAAGCAAAGAAGGAGTTTATAGACTTCCCACAGGCTTCAAGATCATGATGCCCGCATCGCACAGTGGAAAGAGAGAAGAGCTCTTGATGGAGGACAAAGTCCCTTGTTGCGGAAAGGGAGAGAGTGAGAGAGATGTCGGCTCTTTCGTGGGGGAGACACCGGGCGGCCAGGAGTTGAGATGTCCTTTTCTGGTGGAGCCAAAAACAATCGTTCAGATGGAGGTGCAGCCACAGCTCCCAAAAAAAAATTACCAAAAATGACAACTTTTGTTCTATGTTAGGTGTTGGCGTTTGTCTCGTTTTTGGGTGCTGGGTTCCTGGCCCAAGGTAACATCTACCACCCTCTCGACTCCGGTTGGGGCAGGTGGAAGGATGGACATCGGAGTGTCAAGCTGTGGAGACCTACACCGGTGTATATGTCTTGAAGTTTCCTTTTGAAACAATTTTTTACAACATTTTCATGTTTGCACAACTTCCTTCAAACAGACTCTTCAAACCTCAAGGAAAGACAGGAACTGAAGGAATTAGACCAGGAAAAAAACTAAACATTAAAAATTAACAAGCTACTTTTTACACTTTTTCTCCTCTCCCCCTGTCTCTGTGTCTCTTCCCTTAACGGGGGGAGTCCGTTCGACTCTTCGGACCGCATCTCCGAGCGAACCCTGGTGCCGTGAGAGATGGACCGTGCAAGTGTTGGGCGTCGGCGTGGGGGACTGAACCCTGGCACCGAGTTCGCCGTTCGGCCCTCCCGAAGGAGTGACCGGTCACCCCTTGGAGTTCACTCCCCCGTTAAGGGAAGAGACACAGAGACAGGGGGAGAGACTGACTGACTGTGACTGGACTGACTGACTGACTGACTGACTGACCCGACTGGTCATCGCAAGGTTTGATCATTTAAATCGGAACTGATGCTTCTCAAGTTCAATCAAGTTGCCATGCATTGTTGTCGCAACCCGGAAGAGGAGGAGGAATGAGGAGAGGAGAGGAGAGCAAGCAGCAGGCGGTGGAGCCACGTCTTGCGGTCGCCACGCATCGGTCCGCGTACCCACCCCCCCGCGTCCTCGGATCCGGTCCGCCACGTTCGGTCCTCGGAGCCCACCCGGACGTGGGGAGTCACCTCTTCGGACGTGGGGCGGGGAGAGGTGAGATGCGAGAGACAGGGGGAGAGGAGGAAGTGTAAAAAGTAGCTAGTTACTGTAATTTTAAAAGTTTAGTTTTTTTCCTGGTCATATTCCTTCAGTTCCTGTCTTCATTACACTTCTAAAAATTCGTTGAAGTTCACTATGTTCTTTCAATTTCCTTCAAATTCATAAATGGTCGATGTTCAAAAAAATCAGGGTCCATCAATCAAACCTTCAAAACCAAAGGACAACAATTTTATATAAAATCCTTTACTAAACTGGCCCCCCAAAATCACTTTTTGGGCCTTGAAAAGGGTTCCCCCC